GGGTCTTTTCCAAAGAGTCCTCTCTTCGCATTAGGTGACCAAAGTATCTGAGCTTGAGCTCATCAGCATACTAAACTACAAACCCACCATGGGGGCAGATGGGCACATAAATGCTATGACTTATGTACTTGTGTCAGACATCAGGACTCAGGTACTTAATGGTAGCATTTATATGATGAAGTCACTACGCAGACATCATCATTTTGGCACTGTCGTGGTTTGCTTCATGCCAGCGAATAGTAGGAATGCCTTTGGACAATATGAGTTTTTAAAATATATATTTTGCTATTAGAATTCGTAGCATAAGATCAATGCTAACATAACCATTGGACAGTTTCAGATATAACATTCCTATCTTTGTAAACCATGGTTTATAAAATTGTGAGAGTAGTTTTGGGCATTCCTCCCATGTCTCTTCCCTTTTTCCTCCATGTTCTGGCTTTGGCTTGGACTTTTTCATTTACCTTTTCAGGAGAAAAAAAATCTAAGAAAGGCTGTGTCCAGAAACAAGCCTTACTTTCTGCACTATGATGTTCCTTTATTGTTTTTGTTATTTGTAGAATGGCAACATGCAGTCCATACATCTTATATCTGTTCAGTGTTTATTTCAAACACACTGAGATTATTTTCCAGCATGCGATCTCTCCCTTTCTTTTTCTTACAGAAGATAATTGGAAGGAAATCAAGTCTAATACGATGTATTAGAGCAGGCAGTTTCCTAGAAAAGCAATCCTATCTAATACTTTCCTTCCAAACGTAGACAAATAATGACATACAATGATGCTGTTATAAAATATGTGATGCAATGCGAAGTCTTCAATATTCAAAACACATCTCTAATACACTTTGTTTCATGATTTATTTGCAGCATCAATCGCATCTACTTGTAATGATCCTGGGACCCCACAGAATGGAAGTAGATATGGAGACAGCAGAGAGCCTGGAGATACAATCACCTTCCAGTGTGACCCAGGGTATCAACTCCAAGGACAGGATAAAATTACTTGTGTGCAACTGAATAATCGATTCTTTTGGCAGCCTGATGCACCGACATGTATAGGTATTGAGATGAAATGTTGGGCACCTTTAAGTTAAACTAAAGTATACTGCCTCCTGATATTCTCAGTGGTCATTCAGGGTGGCACTACATTTCATGCATTAGCCATGAATTTCACAACTTATTTATAAGAAGCGATAAACCAGGGGCATATGCCAGCTGATGAACAGAAGATCCTAGAGCTTTAAATGTTAATTTACAATGCTATATGACTGAATGCATAAAGGCTACACCTACTGTATAGCATGCTTCTAATATAAATTGCAGGACTGGCTAATTTTATAGGGTTGAGCTGTAGTCCTTGTTGGCATTTCTTGCTTGCCCAAATCCACAGAAGTTTTTACCCTGTATGTAATGGTACACAGGTAGTATCAGCTTTAACACTTATGCCACATGTTCCTCCTGAAACAGGTAACTAGTTGTGGTATTACAGTATTGTTTTGGATTTCTGTAGTATTTGCAAATTATGTATTTTCTCAAAATATAGAAATTGTCAGGGCAAATTAACATTCATATTTCTTTTAGATAAATAGGGACCATGCCTGAGCATCCTGCAGGTGGTAACAGGGAAGAACAGACTGAAAGGAGAACTTGAACAATTATGCTACGTTCTAGTGACTAAGCTGATGGACACAGTAGATAATCATTATAAAGCCCATGCTACAGTAATCAGAAAGGAACAGAAACAATGGATTGTCTCTGACTACATCTGCAGAAACCCAGCCAACTTTTTAGGGCTGTGAACCAAATGACATGGCCTTTGGTAGAACCAGCTGGTGCATTAGTACAACTAAGCTCCATTATGAGCAATTTGCATCACTCTTCATGGTTTTTGTTTCTTTCATATTCAAGCTGGTCTTCATATCATTTTGAGAAATGCCATTCCTGAGCTATCTTGTCCACCATTTAATATCTGATTGGATTAATGTAATTGCTTAATTCCAATATCTGGCCTGCTTTTTGCCTGTTAAATCCCTATCTGGCTTGCTTAGGATTCTGGGATTCCATCTTGCCAGTGTACCCTGAAATCATAAACATTGTCCTTGTCAGAAAAAGTCGCCTACCACCTTAAAGAGCGGTTAGTGAGGTCCTTGTATTAAGAAGCTATCTCTGAGTCCAACTACCTTGAAAATTTATCTGCTTTGTCCAGCATCTCATATTTAGCCAAGATGGAGTAAAGCCAGTGATACTGCATCTCCAGAGATTCTTAGAAGAAACAGATTATCATTTTTCTACTATGGGTGCTCATTTCCTGTGAACTCTGGATTGGGTATTTTGAAATAATATTTCTGAATTCTGAAGAATTGGATGTGGGAGATCAAACTGATGCTGAAATTGGACACAATAAAGTTTTTGATGATTCCAAGGGCTGGATTTCCAGGTTTGGAGATGTCCTCATATAGACAAGGATGCAGGAAGATATTTTAAATTAACACCTTAAATTAACAGCTTGGAGATCTGTCTGGATCCAGAATGGTCTCTTAAGTTATTATAAGATAGTAGAAGAATTGTGAGTTTTCATTAGAGTAAAAACCTAGAAAGGAGCTGTGTTGTTAATTTGACACAGTTTTTCTTTTCTTTTTTTTAAAGAAAATAACATCATGGGTTGACTACTATTGGTAATTCAGTAAGAATTATAGATGTTCAGTCTTACTGTTTTCAAGACCTCCAATTTTAAGTGTATGACTTAAAATTTAGTTGTTTACCTGCTGGCAGGAAAATGTGCATTTTCCCTTGTTTTTTTAATAATAATTTTATTAAAGATTATAAATACAACAGCAAAAACTATACAAACTAAAAAAAGATAGAAGAATAGAAAGAAACAGAAGGTGCAGAAAAGAAAAAAAAAAGGAAAAATAGAAAGAAAAATAAAGTATAGAAAAAGAAAAGAAATATATAAAGAAATGACTTTCCATCTTCATCACAACAAATGTAAACAATTTTAATAACTTATTACCTCTTCTTAAAATACAACAAATGATCTCTTCTTCCCATATCCCATTTCTTACTATAAACAAATCCATAAACCATTGTTATTTCAATCCTGGTCTCAGCAAAAGTCCATTAGGGTTACCAGAAATAACAACATCTCTATGTTAACCTTGATCAAATAAACCAATTTTATATTCCTTCCTTTTTCTTCTAACTATCTTGATATTTAGTCTATTCAAATAATGTGATACAACTTGATTTCTTTTCATTTTTTTTCCTTTGCCCCTTCTCATGAGATTCTTCAAAACTTTAACAACTCTTCTATAAATCCAATATAGGAAAATTATCCAGGTCACTCTCTTGGTTTATTATTTGTATTTCCCTTTTAATTATTAAAACATCAGCCAGTTTCTTTTGTATGCCCAATGTAACATCTTTTTCCATGTCATTCTTGTAGCCTGTCATTTGTAAATCCACTTTCAGACCAGTCTGTATCTTGTAAGGTAGAACTTGCTCCTCTTCCATAACAGTTTTTAGACATAATCTATCTATAGAGGCAGACACTTTTAAAATTAATGTCTGGGTCCATTGTTCAAAAATATCCTTTAATATGTCCAACATTAAAATATTTTGCTTCATTCTGTAATTGTAAGTCAAGTTTAAGTGTTCTTCTCCTTTAATTTTAATCTTTAGTTCCCTCTAGAGTCCAATTTTTAAAATCTTATCTTATTATGTTTTAGAACAAAACCATTTTCCTACAGGAAGGATTCTTTACAATTAATTCCAAAATCTTATTTCAAATTTATCTGGACCTCTAGTCCATTTGTAACTTTCTAATATCAGTTTTAATCACCCTTTTCATATTTATTCCCCCCCCCCCATTTTTTTTTTAAGTTCTTAAACTTGTAGTTAAAACTTCTTCTGCTAAGGATTGAAGGAAACTCACTTGACACTGTAAAACTTGTAGATCCAAAGATTCCTAATAGCTGAAAAGCAGTTAACAAGCAATTTTCAAAAGTGATTAGAAAAGGAAGTATGCAAACTTAGTGTCCTTTCAAAGGCACCGACCATGGTTTGAGCAAGATGGCTATTGTCTTGTCTCTCAGAGCTGTAAACCCACTAGAGACTACTGTTTTGTGGTCTCCTCATGAGGAGCAACTGTCTGGAGTACTCGTGGGCGATCTCAAGTTGTCTCCTTGTCCGGAGAGGTTTGGAAGAGCCAGTCTACTTGCCAGCTCTTTATTCCATCACAGTCAGCTCTACTTTCCGTGGAGTCATTTTTAGTCCACCATTTCTTCCTCCAGAAGTCACATTTTTTCCCCTTGTTAGTGCCTGAGCATATGGATAGAAACATCCTTTATAAAGGAAAAGGATATTATTTATTCCTTTTTTTAAAAGGGGACAAATGGGAAGAAAGAATCCTGAAGATTTTGTTTTCTATCCGTTTCTAGAAAAAATGTTTTAGAACAAATATTCTGAGAGGACTTACAGAATTGTGTGTCTGGGGAAATCTTGTTTTGTTCATGGCAACAATATAAATGTATTTATTCATTTATTTAGTCAGTCAGTCAGTCAGTCAGTAATCACATTTATATGGCCACCCATCTCACAAAAAAGTGACTCATGACATTTATACTATGGAATTTTATTTCCAGAGGCATTTGCAAGGACTATGTCCATAAGACATTTTAAACATTTAAACTGGAGAGACCTTTAAAGGCTTTTCAAACTGCTGTAATCACATTTTTACTTCATTTAAATTAACACAAAATTGGTCTGTTTCTATACTGATATAATCAGATGCTTCATAGACAGCCCCTTTCTCTTTCATCAAGTTTTCAGGGTAATGTATATGAAATGGCTCTGTTGCTACTGTTACCTGGGTTTATTTTCCTTTGAAAGATGATTTTCCAACTCATTTGATTATTTTTATATTGGTTTTGTTTTCTTTGTAATCTCAGATAATTCATCTACCCTACCACTTCAGAACATAGAACACACTCTCATGTGTTGTTTGGAGATCCAGCTATAAATATTTGAATAGAGAAACATAAAAAACACTATAGAACACAAATGAGTGAGAGAAATTTGCACTTTATGTTGGCTGTTTACTCTGAAAATTCAGACTGTAATCCTTTGGCAGCTGAGGAAATATCCCACGAACACAGGATTCTTCACTGTCCTCTAAATCTGGAAAAGGTTCTTTCTTGGATAGGGGAATTCTCCATAATACTTTGTCTCTCACCTTCTTCCAGGCTTCATAACTGGTGTTTTCCAACTTTGGGAAAGTCTAATCTTGTAAAGCTTCAAAAGAGAATAAGCAGAAGTTGGGTCCCTGACAGAGTAAGAAGAGCCCAGGATCAAGCACATCCAAGGGCCACCCCCCAAGGCCCCCACTTTCTGCCATGCTGTCCAATGCAGCAAAAATGTAGACAAGGTTGAGAATTAGCCTAAATTTAACATTTATTTTTGAATGTAGTGGAATTGAAACTTTTTTTCAGATAAACAAAGAAGGGGCAGGGAGATACTGTTAGCCTTACCAGGTGAACCAGACAGGAAACACAGCCAGATGAGCTAATTCTATTTTATTGTAAGGCTATATTAACAGAATATTCCAAGTCTGAAAGCACAATCCTCCCCCTTTCTCCTTTACACCCTGAGAAACTAGATAGGGTCTCTTCTGAGCCTCTTGCCCCACCCACTATCCAGCTGCAGACTATGCTATCTCTTATCTGACTGTTCTCTAGACAGTGTCTCTGGGCCCAGTATCCCAAGGTTATTCCCACATATCATTACAGATACACACAACTCTCTGTTCTGTTTTCTTTTCTCCTAGTCTTTATTCAGTAAGGCAGAGAAATGTTTGGAGTGCTCCAACTTCATTATTGGGCTGATTTATTAAATGAAGCTCACATGTCTGAGGGAAGAACTTTGGTACCGAAGAGTAAATACTGTACTTATACATTTCTTTATATAAGAGCTTTTTATTGTACTTATAATTGTTGTGATAAATACCTGAAAATAAGGCATGAGAAAGAAATGTATAAGAACCTAAATTATGTTGGCACTTTCCAGTGCTCAGTTTTGACATGTGATCATTCTTATTTTTTTATTCTCTCTTGTGTGACAGCTGCATGTGGTGGAAACCTTACAGGCCCAGCAGGTGTTATTTTATCACCAAACTACCCACAGCCATATCCTCCCGGAAAGGAATGTGATTGGAGAATAAAAGTAAACCCTGATTTTGTCATTGCTTTGATATTCAGAAGGTATTATTTCAAGGATTGTGTATTACTTTTACATGTTTTCTTTTAAAATGTCACATTCAAAAATTGCAAAATACATTATTGAGCTTGGCTAATTACTTTTTTAAAACTATGTCGTAGGCAGGGCTGGGGCACTCTTTGATAGCTAAAGACTGCATTTAAATGGAGGGGATGGGTGGGTTGAAGGCTGCAGAATGGTTGGGTCTAAGTTTTTAAGAAATGATTGGGTGGTGTGTTCGGTTTTTGTAGCATGCCAATTTTAGTGTGTGTGTGTGTGTGTGTGTAGTAGTTTTCAGGGTTTGTCCACTTTAATATGGTGGGAAACTATCCTGATAGTGTTCAGCAATAATGATCAGAGCAGTGGTGGTGGGGCAAGCTACAGAAATGAGACTTGGAAGCTAATTGTTGCCCATGTATGCCTTATGTCTGTATCAATGCTTCATGACACATAAAACAAGTAATAATGTGAGAAAAATGTACAAGAGTCACCAGAGGATCCATCTAGTCCTATGTCCATCAGAAGGCAGAAAGTTTCTGGCTGTCTCTACTTTTCCTGTGGTCAAATTATAGAAGTGCCAGACATAGTGGGGGAAAAAAGTATTGAAGAAAGCTGCCACAATCTGAAAGTGCTAATGCACTAGTTGGATTCAATAGAGTATTTTAATTTTCCACTTAACCCCTTTCGTACCCCCAGATACAAAAACTGTAATATTTTAATAAGGTTATAACAACAAATCATTGCATGAATAAGATGAACCCTTATGCAATCTAACACAAGTTTCTTAAATTAAACCTAGTTTCATTTAGTGGGATCTATTCCTGGTATGTGATTATAAGGCTGAATTAAGTAAATTAATGTACTGTATAACCTCTGTTTATGTTGCTTCTATGGAGCTAGATTGAAATAAAACTTGCAAAAATATAAATCTTGCAATATACTTGTAGCTACAGTGTGCAAAACAGTATAATAAAACATAATGTAGAGCGAAATTCATGAGTAGTCTAATTTACCCTGATAAATCACTGTCAAAATACTACCTAGAAAATTGCATGGATGTGATCTCCAGGAGTCAAGCTCAATACAAGAGCATCTTAGTTTAATTCATAAATTCTACTAGATTAGCAGGTAAAGGATGCAACCAGGGTAGTCTACGTCCAGCTTCAGCTGGTGTGCCACCTGTGGCCCTTTTTGATATGGGAGGCCTGATGACAATCCCTTATGCCATCATTACCTCAAAACTGGATTACTGTTACTCTATGTTGAGCTGCATTTGAATATTTTCCAGAAATTTCAGCTGTTGTAAAATATGGCCGCATACATGTTGCGGGGGGGGGGGGGGGGAGCCATTTCAGCAGTCATAGTTGGTCACTGCATTGGTTACCAGTATGTTTCTGAGTACAGCTCAAAGTACTGATTTTGAGCTATATAACCATATATGACTTGGATTGCGTTACTAATGAGACTGTTTTCTCCAAGGAGAATCTGCCTACTCATATGTGGTCAGCTGGAGAATTGAGGTTCCTCAGATGTTAGAGGGTGGGGGCTAAGCAGCCTCATCCTTCTTGAGAATGCTACTCCTAAGGTCTAGACAGCTACTACATTTCTACAGTTTATGAATACAACAAAAAACGCTATTTCATCAGGCTTTTATGCCAAGAAGTCTTTCATATTGTGATTTTTTTAATGATACTTGGCTGATTTTATTCATTCATTCATTCATTCATTCATTCATTCATTCAATATATCTAACAGCCCAATTCAAAATTATTCTGGACAGTTTACAGGTAGTCCTTGTTTAGGACTGCCTCGTTTAGCAACAGTTTGCAGTTACGAAGTGATAAAAAAATAACTTTACGACCAATCCTTGCATTTATGACTTTGCAGGTCTGTAAAGCAAAAGAAAGCTAACATAAGTTCATAACCACAGTTACGGTTTTACTTAGCAACGGCTTTGCTTAACGACCGGTCCCAATTGTGATCACTAAATGAGGACTACCTATATAAACTTTGAAAAACAAGATAAAAATATTAACCTCAACCATTTCTGGCATTTATATTTAAGTTAGTCAGATTTTGTGGAGTAGCCAGGTTATAAATGATGAAATTAAACAAAATAATTTGAACAAAGAAATGCAAACTTTTGATTCTCGGCGATGGGAGTGTGAGACCCCTCACTTCATTGAGCTTGCCATCTTTTATCTTTATCTTTATGTTTTGTTTTATTGATTTTACTGTAATTTCTTTGTTTGATTATTGTGAGCTGCACAGAGTCATTGAGAGTCCAGTGACATGCAAGCTTAATAAATTATTATTATTAAATATACAAGTCATACTTTCAAATTTAACAACACCATAACATCATTTACTTGTTTGGTTCAGAGTGATATGTGATCTCATCTGCCAGATTTTGTAAATCCTGGTTTCCTATGACTTAAAATTGCTATTCTGAAGACATGTTAACTTCCATGCAAGAAAACAGTGTAAACTCCAGACTGAACACAAATATGCAAGAATGAAGAAAATGTAACAGTTACCAGAAATGCAAAAATAAATCACCTAACATAACTAATTCATGTACATACTGCATAATGTTGTAAATTAGTTTATCTTATACAAGGTGATAACAGAAGGTCCATAATAATTATTCAACTATTCCCAGTTGAGGGGGAGCAACTCTTTTCTTCCTAAATTCCCAGTGATTGATGACTTTCTTCTTCCAGGTTAAATCAACCAGTTAATGGGTAACAGCTGCAGCAATATATTGAAAACAAAGGTTCAAAAAATCAAAACATTACTTACAGTATTTATTAGGATATAATTCCTAAATGCATGCATACATTTTATATGTTTACTGCGTAAACCCTGTATGTCTACCCAAAAATAAGTTTCATTGAATTGAAATGGATCTTATTCCCAAGTAACTACATATAAAATCAAAGCCTTAAAGCACAAGAAATATTCTGAAAAATATTTATCTGCCCTTCTCCACCAAAACCCCATGTTATTTTACCTAGACTTAAATAAATTATTACTTATGCTATTTGAAATTTTATCTTACTTAGCTATTAATCTGTCCAAGTAGGCTTGCATCCATAAGGGACCCTGCCTTAGCAACAGTTGCGACTACTTTCAGTAAAACATATTTAAAATATTTGTGTATATTTGAAAGAAAATTGGGCCTATTGGTGCCACCTTTCTCATATGAAATGTGATCAATGTTGGGAAAATAAGATTTAGTGTTAGCTCCCAACCTGCCAAATTCTTCTTCTTTTTTTTTTTTTTTTT